CCACCGAAGGAGAGATAAGCTCCACCAGTAGGTGGGACACATGAGGGAAGCTTTTGGGAGCATCTGGAGGAGGGAATAGCTAGAGGAGACGTGTTAACATCAATATGAAAATGTGTTTTATTCTCATTTTATCTTTAAATCAAGAACAACTTTATAAAGTGGAAGTGAATATTATTGAGTCAATAGTTTATACAAAGGTTGCTCAAATATTAGACATAAACTGTGTAGTGGAAGGTTTAAGTTTCACATTGTATTAGTGACACTGTGGAGTAAACTCACACACTGGAGGCTGAGCCGGTGGAATCCTCATGTCCTTTAAGAGCACAGGAATAGCTGTTGTCATCATTAACAGAGACTCTAAGGGAAAATGTTTCCTCCTTCATTTCCAGTCCGTTCTTGTACCAGACATATGAAGGACGATCAGCTACTTTAAAACTGCTGTGACACTTCAGCTCTGTCTGGGTTGATGATCTTTCCACCAGCACCTGGAGGTCTGGACCTGTGACAAAAGAACAGACATTAACTAAACTAGAAAAGTACAATCAAAGCAACACACAAAGATTCTCAGTAGTTAATGATTGGAACCAAATTGATAAATATGCCAGTGAAAACGTTACCTGTGAAATACAAAGTGACTCCAGGTTCACCTGTATATTTCCCACCTTGGTTTGTTGTGATTCTGAACTTGTACTCAGCTGAGTCGCTCTCTCTCAGGTCTCTGATTGTCAGAGTGCAGCTGTTCTTTATACGACAATTATACTCCACACGACCTCTGTAGTCTGAGTCTGTTCTCAGATCCAATGGTGCATCATTAATCTTTTTAGTAAACCAGAGTGTTTCCTCAACTGTAGTATAGTAACCATTTATTCTGGATGGGTAACTGTAGCTGCAGTGTATTTCCACTGTTGATCCTTTAAAGGCACAGATGTGAGTGTGAGTGTAAAACACTCCCCAGCCTCTCTGACCCTGTATCACTGTAACACAGAGCACAGCAGAAACCACAATCAGATTCACAACAACAGAGAGAAACTTTATGGAGGTTCTTCAACATGGAAACCTGCTACATGACTAAAATACATTTGTAAAACTACTTGGCTCCAACACTTCTCACTGTGAGTTTAAGACAAAGATGTCTGTCATGTTGTTATATATTGTTATATATATGTTACTGAGGTAAAGTCATGTTTTTCTCCTATGGTCTCTTCCTTTTTATTCACTTTTAAACTCATGATGTTAATAATGTTTGTGACTTCTTGATGTAGTTGCTGTATTAAGCCACAGTGAACACAGACATGGAGAAGTCCAAACAGAAAACCATTGGACCTGTGAATCTTAATGCAGCTGTAATGAACAGTGTGAGAGGAATCAATTATTATTATTAGAGCGCCATGAAAAGTGATGATTACTTTGCACTCCATTAACTTAACAACAACACAAATGTTTGACTGTATTTTAATTCTATTTTTATCCTTACAATAATATACGAAACGTAACTCACCAATATACATCAGAGTAGCGACTTGAGGTCACCTGCCATCCTTTTTCCCATTATTTTTTTTTTTTTTTATTTTTTTTTTTTTTTTTTTTTTTTTTTTTTTTTCTTTTTTCTTTTTTTTGTTTTGCTTTTTTTTTTTTTTTTTTATCCAGTGTAACCTACTACTGTTTTTATGTTATGTTCTGGCTAATATTTACAAGCTGAGTTCTTCCTGCTTTAACTGATTAGTTATATATGTTTTTCTATGTGAACATATTTTTGCCATGCAATCATTACATTGGTTTCGGTAAACAGGAGTCAGTAGAAAATATATTTTTTATATATTTGGTTCATACTTTGATGGCGATATAGTGTATGCTTATCCGTAAATTCAGCGTAGCTTTCTAACCATAGTTTGTTATTGAAAAACACGGTTCATTACTCAGATCTCTTTTTAAATCATGATCTCCATGGGTACATCTGTTATTCAATGTGAGGTAAAATGCTGCTGTGATGCTCAAATAACTTCCTCAATCCAACCAACACTTATGATCTCTCTTTGAAGCCTAAAATGATGATAATTTGATAGATGAATTCATTAATGAATGTAATAATAATAAAAAATTGTTTCGATATAATAGTCTAGATAAAACCTTCTCACTGCATACTCTATTATAACAGTAACAACAAACAATAAAGATTTAATTTTTCATTGGATTAGTAAACAAGTAAAAACTCCTTTATTGAATTTGGTTGTCAGGAATATATTAAGGAGTAGTAGAAAAGGAACATACATTGTATCATAGACTCTCAAGTTGGATTCAGACTCAGGACACTGTCCCTTAAAGGCTCTGACTTGCAATGGCCTGTTATTTTTCCACACCCTATCAGGTTGAGCCTATTAAATCGCAGCAGGTTTCATTACAGTATTCTCTTGTACTTCTATACTCTCTTGACACACCACAATGTGTTAGCAATTTTTTTTCTAGTTCTTTGATTTGCTGCTAAATCCATATAATATAACAAGAGTAGCACAGATTCATGGTGTGTTTTTTGTTGTTTGTTGACTGTGCTGTACAGTGCACATGATATCATTTCCATCTTTCTGACGTCTTGTTCTGTGAAGGGAAGAATAAACCATTTCACTCTGAAGTTTTTAACCTAATGTGTATTTCTTGTTAAATAAGTGTGTAGTGATGAAAATGTTGCTGTCGAGAGGAGCTTGCTCACCTGGTGCACTGCTGCATTGTTTAAATCTGACAGCAGAGTATTCTAACCCCATCCTCCTCCTCCTCCTTCTTCCTCTGTTTATCTCTGGGGTATGAACTCTGACGTTGGAGTAACAACATTCTCCTGGTTCTGTGAGAAGCAGTATGCTGGCGTTAGTGAAGGTCACCCTGCTGTTCCTGCTGCTTGTGTCTTTGTGCTGCAGATGACGGCAGGTGTCATACACTGGACCCCACTTCAGCTGACGGGACAAACAGAACTCAATTATAACAAGACTTTTATTTTGCTGTTTACCAATGACCGTACAGTAAAATACTTGCTGGATGGGATCAGGAGTTTGTTCTTCAGCTCTTATTCTTTACTTCAACAGGTACTGAGAGTTTCTGGAAACAGTTTCTCACACTTAACAAAAAGCTTTCTGTTGTAATTTCCTACTGGCCACCAGCAGGGTCGGTAATATTCACAGGTTGATTAATATTGATCTTTTGCACTGGAAAACTTGAACTCTTCTTTTCTCACCTGTGCTCTGGTGTCAGGTCTCTCTCCACACTTACACTGCTGTGTGTGAAGGAGTTATCTCTTTCTAGACAGGAGGAAAAGCAATCGAGTGAATTTAACTAATACATATTTTGAAGCATTTTGAACATAATCATGGTGACACAGAATTATCTCACCTGTATCCAAGGGAAGACAGCGAGATGAGGAGAGCCAGGAGAACAGCAGTGATTGATCCAGCCTGCTGATTTCCATGCACCTGGATAATCAGAAGAAATACTGAAGACTGAGGAGGAATTACAGGATGTTTGAGTAAACATGAGCTTAATACACAGCTCCAAAATCTCCAAGAGGTGTTGAGGTCAGGGTTAGTGTGGTTTGTTCTGCCACCGTCTGTATAGTAACAAATAATGCAAAAATAAAAGCTGCTCAGTAAACAGGTGTGTGTAGTATGAATGTGGTGTACTCACCTGCTACAACAGTCAAGTATTAAGGTGGAGTTACGACGTCCTCTTGTGTTCTGGGCTTCACAGTAATATTCCCACTGTTTTAGGTCTGAGGTCAGTGATGGTGAAGATCTGTCCTGAAGCTTTTGGTGAGTCTTCATTCTCCTTGTACCAGGTGTAATTTAGCTGCTGGGTTAGCATCACTGCTACAGGTCAGATTCACTGAACTGCCCTCCACTATCTCACCAGAGGGACTCACTGACACCAGAGAGAAGCTTTGGAGCATTCTGTGAACAACAAACATTAACAACATACTTTAACTGCAGAGCTACATGTTGTATTTTAATGAGTAACAGTTCAATAGTTATGTATTTATGCAACATTAAGAAATATTTATGTCTGGGAAAACATAGTTCTGGTTACTAATCAGCTTTATATAGATTTTTAAATAAACTCCTCACTCACATTTTACATCTAAAGATGTGTGCTTTTTCCTCCTCCCCATCTCATCTCAGCTGTACAGTAATACTCTCCAGACTCAGAGGGCTGGTATGACTTGAAAAGAAGCTGTGTTGTTGTACTGGTGAAGTTTACGGTCATTCTCCTTGTACCAGGTGTAATTAGCTGCTGGGTTAGCATCACTGCTACAGGTCAAGTCACTGACTACTGCCCTCCACTATCTCACCGGGGACTTCACTGACACAGAGGTGAAGCTTTGGTAGCATCTGGAGGAGGAATTATGAGGAGACTTCGTTAATAAGCAGAAGACAGAAGTCAAGCTGTTAAAAGAAGATTGATTCCTTCCTCTTTACATTCTTAATATTCATGAAGTCAGTACAAGTCTGACCTCCAATCGTTTCGTCATCTTACAAATGACTGCGGAAGTCCTGAGAGGCAAATAACTTAGGAACATCTGTGAAAACAGGTGACAGAACAAATTTGAGGTTTTTGACAGTTCAACTATTGATACTTACAACTGACAATTGGTCAAACCTTTTCATGTCAAGGATCCTCAAATTAAGGTGAACGAAGCCATGGACCACATTTGATGTTTCTCTCTCACTAACAAGTGGAAAAACAGCTGATATCAGTATAACCAAAACTAATGGAAGATTAGCGCATATTAAAACATTTATAGCTAATGGTTCAACTGTCAACTCAAGGACTAATTAAGATTAACCATTGCACTATAATATCATTATTCAATAATCAAATTCTGTATCATACATATGAACAATAATGTATTAATTTGAATATGAAAATAAAAATGTGTCGAAGAACTTATTCTGTTGTGTACAGCTATTAATAAAATATATAATTATCCTATTCCTATAGAAAATGTCCGAATGTCTCACACAGAAGGACTTTTTTTTATCTTAAAACATTTTACTCAGAATGGGTGAAGTGTCCGTGTTACCATGACTACGTTACAGTAAAATAACGTTAGCTATACAGACAACTTAACCCAGGGCGTAGCTATTGTTTAGCAACGAACAATACGTTTTTAAGTCACTAGCTAGCGGGAAACGACTACCGTCACTACATTTAACAGTTGAACCATTGCTAAATAAGACAATCGATTGTCAAACCTTTTCATGTCGAGGAAATTGATATGCAACAAGCCGGTTTCCCAGTTGATGTTTTTCACTCATTAGCTGCTACTAGCTAGTAGGCTAACGGCTACCTTCAGTGTAGCTAACACTAAGGGCAGATCCTCCACATTTATCCATTTTAAAATTCCATATTTTTACAGACTGAAGTTTTCTAGATTTCTCCGTAGATTTTTCAGACCATATTTGACATCTGATTCCGAATGGCTATATTTTTTTAATATACAAATGTATTATTCTAATATCCAACCGTTAACTGTTGTACTCTGAACTCTGAGCGTCATCTTCAGTTCAAAATGGCGGCCTCCGACCTCCAGGGGGCCTCCAAACTCCCACCAACTGTGGCGTCAGTATTTAATTTTTTTTTTCTTTTAATGATCAAATCACATAAATTGATTCAGTATGTGTGTGTTGAAATACAAACCGATGAATGCAGAATTGCTTCATTTGCAAATAAAAATATTATGATCGGTTTGCAGGCTCTGTCTGTGTCATGATGATCACGAGTGAGGTCAGAGGTCAGGCGGTGACCGTGGGAATTGAGCGGTAAGGCCAGCTCGTCCTGATTTCCAGCATTTTTTATCCAGAGGCCTCTGTGTTCTTAGTCCAGGCCTGGATGTATCAGACCCAAGACTGTGTCGTTCAAGTGAATATCAT